CCCACCTCCCCCCCCCCCGCGCACATTTCTACGCATACAGCCGCCTCCCCCCTCCCCCGTCCTCCTCTCCCCCGGCCCCCCACCCCACTTTCAGACTGTGTGGATGTTCCGACGTAAGGCCTGTCTGGAGCTGACACACAACTGGGGCACCGAGTCCGACCCCGCATTCGCCGGCTACCATAACGGCAACTCGGATCCGCGGGGGTACGGACACATCGGCATTTCCGTACCGGATGTGTATGCGGCGTGCAAGCGGTTCGAGGAGTGAGTGTGGTTGGGGGGGGGTGGGGGGGCGGGGGGCTACCCCCCACCTTCCCCCGTGTCCGGTGACAGCGGCCACATGGGGGGGGTGCATGTGCCGTCTTGGGGGAGGGGAGGGGAGGTTGTACAAGTTCTGTGTACCCGCCCACCCACCCAGCCCCCGGGCCGCATGGGCAACACCCCTCTCCCCGGATGGCAAATGTACGGTAGGCAGTACCAACAACAACACATCGCCGTGTTTGCAGGGGTAAACACCACAGACGCCCCAAAACCTCTTTTTCTCCCCCTCCCCCCCCCCCACACACACACGCGCAGGTTGGGAGTGGAATTTCAGAAGAGGCCAGACGACGGCAAAATGAAGGGTGAGCTATTCAGCGAAAGGGGGGCAAACTGCTGCCTGCTGCTTTCGTCTGCCCCTCAGCTGTATCTCTGTCTGTCCGTGTGTGTCGTGCGATGCGTTGACTTTGACTTTGATGTTAATGTTGCGGTCTATCTACCTACCTCAGCTCAGATTACCCCCCCCCTCCCCCCCCCCCCCCAAAAGAAGGTCTGGCCTTCATCCGCGACCCCGACGGCTACTGGATAGAGGTCCTCAACGCAGACAACTCCCGCCAGTTCGCCACGTGGGGCAAGTAAAAACACACACGCGTGTGTGTCTGTATGTCTGTGTGTCCCCATCCGCCAGTTCTGTGGATGCGTGTCGCAGGTGTATATGTGTATGTGTGTGTGTGTATGCCTTCATGCCGGGCCGCGGCAAACCAACACATCCGCATCGTCGTCCGGGGGGGCGGTGGGGGCAGTCGCCCGCATCAGCGGCAGTGGCGGATCCAGAATCCAGATCCCACCGGAGCTGTCTACCCGTGTGGTCCCCTGTGTGTGTGTGTGTGCCAAAACGTGTGTGCATGGCCGCATGTACGGCACTCTGCACCTGGCTGTCCCTTAGGAGAGGGGAGGGGGGGGGGGAGAGGGGAGGGGGGTGACGGATTTACTACGTGGACTCCTGATTAGGCTATGGGACGTCCGCGGGGACGCGGGGAAGCGGGTCTCAGTGGGCGGGGCGGGGGTGGAGGGTTAGAGTGCGGCAGCACGCTGTACAGCAGGATGGGGCAGGAGGTGGTCAGCGGGGCAGGACCAGAGGAGCGGACTTGAGGACCGCGGCGTGTATGTGTGTGTGTATGTGTGTGTGTGTGTAGGCACGAGCAACAGGAGTACTAGCAGCATTAAGGTTGCAAAGGCAGTGGGGGGGAGGGGAGGGGCAGCGGAAGGGAATTTGGGCGGCGGATCTGGAAAAAGGAGGGGCGAGGGGTGTAGGAGACGCTCGCAATAGCCGCCTTTGCTCTGTGTGCGTGTATGTATGTATGTATGTATGTATGTATGTATGTATGTATGTATGTATGTATGTATGTATGTATGTATGTATGTATGTATGTATGTATGTATGTATGTATGTATGTACGTATGTATGTACGTATGTATGTATGTACGTATGTATGTGCTGCGCTGGGAGGTGGGGGGCTAACAGCACGTAAATATTCACATCGCGGGGTCGGTCGGCGGCGCAATCCAACCAAGCTGTTCCTGTCGGCTGTTTTGTCGGAATATGCTTGCGAAGGGTCTGTTCGGTTTTCGCGGCGGAAGGGGGTCTCGCAGGTTTTTGGCGCATTAACTAGGAAGATGAAGAATGAAGAGATCTATTATCGGGGGTTGCTCTTGTCTGTCTGTCTGTCTGTCGCGTGGTCGACCCGGTGGGGGGTTCCGCGGGGGGAAGGGGGGAGAGGGGAAAGCTGTGGCGGCGGTTGCGGGTCGACTGCTCCCCCCCTCCACCTGGGAGCCCTAGGGCAGCTCTTGACGTGTGTGCGGCGGCGGCTTCTACGACCTCCTGGCTGATGACACCAGCTGGGTGGCCAGAGCTGGTGAACTCGTAGTTGGGCTCCCGGATATCCCGGCTTCATGTACGGGTGGTGGGAGGGGACAACGGGCTAGCTGTGCATGTTGTTGAACACACCCGCTTCTTAATCTCACTCCTCCGCTATGGTTCGCTTCACGCACGCTCTTCCAACTCCTGGCTTGTGTTTACTCTCCTGCTTTCACAAAGGCAACTGCGAAATGTCGTTCGTTGACGGACAGATACGCACATCGTTAACAAAACAGGCGGTTTAAAATAGACAGACAGGGGCACTTAGACACGTGTGTTAACTCTGGTTCTCAAACACCCCGCTGCTCTCCTTTATAGATCGAGTTACACACACACATAAACATACATACATATATACATACATCCACTGAGAAGTTGACTAGGGTGACTGGATGAGGGTGCCCCGAAATACCGGGGAAGGCAGGGTTTCACAGGGTAGCTGCCACGGGCGAAGATACACCCCCCTGTTTCACACATCATACATACATACACACATCATACATACATACACACATCATACATACATACACACATCATACATACATACACACATCATACATACATACATACATACACACACATCCCTGCCAGCCAAACCAGCCGCAACCCGCCCCTTGGTGGTGGGGCCGTACACCACATACCCCTGAAACACCACACTGCTTGTGTGCGATCAGCTTCCACCACATACATACATACATACATACAGGATACAGACATCCTCGTATGCCACCATGTCCATATCTACACATATACATACACACGCACTCATCTGACAGCACACACACACACACAACCCACACACACCAGGCCAAGTAGTCAGTACTTCCGAAACCTCTCCTGTACGACACATTCCTAAAGGCAGCAATACGGCAGCGATACGAAGAATGACTAACAAGTTCACATCACCGTCCTTACCTATCATCGTTGTGTGGTGGTTGTGGTGGTTATGTTGTTGGGAGTGGTAGTTGGTATATCCCACCACCACCGCCAACTTAGCTTCTGCCAGTCGAGCAGTAGAAGCCGCCAGCAGCCCACGCAGCCCGCACAGCGGCATATCGCGATAAGGAAGGCGCCACCAGACGCTAGCAAATACTAGTGGCCAACCAGCCAGCCAGCCGGGCAGGCACAGACACGTAAACCCCCACACACCCTTCCCCCCCCCCAACACCCCACCTCAAGATAGCAGCAGCCCACCCGGAAAGGAACCGCCCCCCGCCCCGGTGGCGCCTCCCGACGACCTACTCGGCCGCGGCCCCCCCCCCACACACACACACCCGCCCGCCCACCTAGTAACCTAGTACACCATCTACACAAACAACACTGACCCGCACCTGCCCGCATGCATAGGGCCCACCGCGGGGCAACATATGCCTTCCTCGCTTCCCGTACCATCACCACCATCACCACCACCTAGACATTCGTCTTCCCCTGACCCCGCCTCCCCCATTTTGAGGTACCCAACCCCCATCTGGTTTGGGTTGTGATCCACCACCACCACCACCACCTCCAAACACTCAAACAACTAAACCTCAAGTACCCCAACCACGGCCACATTTTCCATACACCCTACCCCTTCCTCCCAGCCTATCGCCTCTATCACAAACCCAACCCCACCCCCCTGACCGCTGACCCCACCCCCCTTCTACTTGGTTTGGAAAATGTTCTGCACCATGGCCCCCTTCCCGATCCCCCTCGCGGCCCGGTCCAGCTCCTCCACCTCCCCCCGCCCCAGCCGCCAGCCCAGCGCCCCCAGGTTCTCCCGGGCCTGGGGGAGGTCCTTGGCGCCAGGGATGGGGACGGCGCCCTTCGCCATGCACCAGTTGATGGCCACCTGCAGCAAAAGCGGGGTTACGGGGGGTTACGGGGGTTACGGGGGTTTGGAAGTGGGAAGGGGTAGGTGGGGGGTGGACAGTAGTGGTGGGTGTGCCTTGGGGCGGTGGATGGGCCCGTCACTCCCCCCCTTTTTGCCCCTCCCCCCCCTTGCCAGATCCTCCCCCCCACCTGCGCCGGTGTCTTCCCCCGCTCCCTCGCCACCTCCTCCACCACGCGCATCAGGGGCTCCACCTCGGGCAGCAGCTGCCGGAACAGGGCGCCCCGGGGGCCAGGAGGCAGGGAGGGGGAGGGGGAGGGGGAGGGGGAAACACGACCACCCGCAGCCTTCGTCGTCTTTCCGTTCAGAGAGTACTTGCCTGCGCGTGTGAGGGGGCGAGGAGGCGAGGAGGCGATAAGGGGGGGGGGGAGGTCGCTGATGATGTGGACTCGGCTGCTTGCGGGGCGTGACTGGTTCGTTGGTGGTTGGGATTTCCTGATGTAGCATCACTGATGTATGTATGTATGTTTGTTGTTACAGGGTGGTATAGCTTCACCAGCGGCCCCCTTTCCCTTGGAGGCAGTTCCCTGCTCTCCCTTGCGAGAGGGGCACCCTAATCCGTTTAACCCATCCGACTTCAGAGTGTATTCGTTGGGTTCAGCAACTCACCACCAGCATCCAACCAAATCTAGCGGATCAACGGCGCCTCAACTTAGTTCCTGGTCAGCTCGCAAGTGAATGTATGTATGTACATATGTATGTCCTGTAGGATCGTTCCAAGTTACAAGGTTCCCGCGCAAGTGTTCCAAACTACAAACATACACACAAACACGCACACGCACACCGAAGTCACACCGAAGTCACACCGAGGTCCCCTCACACACCGATTCATGTACCCCCCCACACACACACAACAGCACCTTTATACCGCCTGATCCGCCGGCCCAGGATCGCCCCCTTAACACCCCCCCACGGAACTCCGGTAGCTACCCGGGGGGTTCTCCTTCCGCTTCTTGTGTCACAAGAGGGAGCCCCGCTTGCTACACTCACCTTCTCCACGGCAGCACGAAAACCCCTCCCCTCACCCCCGTTCATTCACCCCCCAATACACCCCCCAATACACCCCCCAATACACACACACGCGGACACCGCCGTACCGGAGAGCAGCCCCAGAGCCAAGGGGCTGTAAGCGATGACCGTCACACCTAGGTCGTCACAGAGCGCCTGGGGGGAAAGGGGGTGGGGGGAAAGGGGACACATACACATACACATACACATACACGCGCACAGAGGGGAGGAACGTGACGGGAAGGCAAACGGAGCCTGACTATGACACGCGCTAGGTTGTACGGCAGGGTTGAGGTTGAGGACACACGGGGGGAGGAAGCGTACTTTACGGGAAGTACCGCGCGAATGTGGCGCGAGGGGCTGAGGTGTTTGCGTGAGGGGGTGGATGTGGTTCCGGGTGACCTCCAGGCAGGGGCGGGGCCTCCTCCATCGGAGGACACCCCACCCCACCCCCTCACGTCTGATGAGCCGAGCGTACTTCTGAGGTGCAGGAGGGGGCCGGACACACGCCCTCTAGGGGTGGGGGCGCTGAACCACACGGAGTGAGTTTTGTGCGGCCGCGCCGCCCTCCGGTGAATCCAGAATTCCACTTTCCTGAGAGGCGCCCCCCGGCCGGTGGGCTCACTGAGTGCCCGTTAGGGGGGGCTGGTTGGTCCATTGGCCCCACTGCCGCCACCGACCCGAGGAACCGACCCGCTGCTGCCACTGCCGCTGCCGCACCTCCAAACCCCCATGTAAAATGGGAACGAAGTGCCCCGCACTCCCACTCGCACCAGCAATCGCATTCCGGCTGCTTTGCGTCCTTGGCGTGCGTGCCGTCCCTCCCCTCCAGCACACCACCACCACCGCCCCGGTCGCCGATTCGTACGTGTACGGCATGCAAACCCCCCGGGGCCCCCTGGGGGAGCAATAGAGCTCGCGACACCACAAGCTTGCTTCTTGTGTGTACAACTTGCCGTACGATTGTACGAATACCCGCGCAAATCGGCCCTCAGAGGCCGCGGGCTTTCCCACACCCCTCTGACAACCGCCGTACACCCACCTTGAGGTCCTGTTGTGCCGTACCCCAGCTCAGAAGGGAAAACTGAATCTGCAGTAGCAGTAGCAATAGCAGTAGCAATAGCAATAGCAGTTGCAGCCGTACATGGCGAAATCACAGCAGCAGCGGCAATGCCAGCAAGCAATGCCATGCGCCACATACACTCTCACGATAGGGCCCCGCGACGTTTTCCATGATCAACATTCCTAGGTCCCTTGCTGTACACCTCCACACCCCCACCACACCCCCACCACACACACACCCCACATCCCCACCACACACCGCACCTGAACCCGCCCCTTCCCTCTACTCGCCCCTCCCCGCTCTCGGGGGCGGCAGAGCCGGGCTACCTGCCCCTCAACCCCCACCCCAGTCACCTCCGCCCCCTTTCCGTACCGTCCCCTGAGGCCATTGGGGTTCGTGTCGCCTCTTGTTGTCACCCCCACTGCCTTTCCCAAGCCCCCTCTTAACCCCGATACACACATACATACGCACGTACACACCTGTGCTGACGCCAGCGGCACCCCCCTCTTGGCAAGTGCCGCGTGTATCTTCTTGAGCTGTTGAGGGCCGTAGTTGCTCACCCCCACCTCCCGAACCAGCCGCTGCTCGTAGCAATCCGCGAGACCCGCCTGGAGAGCTAGCTCCTGTGGGGGGAGGTGTAAGTCCGTACGGGGGGAGTTGGGGGGAAGGGGGGGAGGGAAGGTCTTTGTGTCTTAATCATCCCTGGCATCCTCAATTCCTGATCGCCACCGAACCGACTTACCATCCCGGGTATGGTCCGCCCTGGAGAATGGAGTTCAAATATGTCTGTGTGTATGTGTGGGGGGTTTGGGGAGAAGGAGATAATGTTGCGGTTCGGATTCGATTGCGACGCGCGACCGTTTCCCCCTCCCCGTCCTCCCCCGCCCCTCCCCCCCCTTGGAGGGCAGATATCACCTCGGAGACCCCGCCCTCGCAGCCACTCTGGGGGCAGCCGCTCACCATAGGGCCTCCCTAGACCGCTAGACATATCCCCAGTTGTCCACCGACCTGCAGCGGTTGGTAGTTGGCGGTTGACCAGTGGAGTTGGCCAACAGACAATTGCTCCAGCCCAAGGCGTTTCAGCGAGCCCCGGCAGGCGGCCACCATGTTGCCGGGCAGCACCCGCCAGGGGTAGGCCGCGAACTTGGTGGCGATGTGGACTCCGTCCCGAACTCGGTCAGAGCCGGGATACTCGCGGGTGAACTTGCCGAGCAGCAGCTCGCTCTTGCCGTTGAGACGACCGGTTCCATAGGAATCAGCGGTGTCAAAGATGTTGATGCCGTTGCTCACCACCAAGTTAAACAGCTCCTGCAGCTCCGGGTCTTGGCTTTCATCGTAGCCCCACAAAAAGCGATTGCCCCAAGACCACGTGCCTAAGCCCATCGGGCTAACTTTGAGTTTGCCAAGGGGAACCAGTTCCGACGGACGATACAGTGGTCGCTCGGTGGGGCCCAATGGCGCAGATGGCTTTGAACGTCCGGGGAGCAGCTGCTGCCAGAAAGCACGGATGGTAGCGGATGATCTGCGGCTGTATCTATGAGTTTTCACATCATTTCTTGCTTGCTGCCTATCCCTGAGCTGAGTATGCTGCTGGCCGCAGCGGTTAAGCTGCACATGCATTTTTTGGGGGTAGCGATGTTTGCGATCTTATATAATGTGCCGGTGCTCAGTCAAGATAGGAATGTATTACCGCCCGCTCGCGGGCGAGTGAGGGTTGAACGTCTCATGCAAAGCTTACTGTGCCCGTCCGTACAGTTATACGCACTACGCAAAACACCATGATATAAGGTCTGTCTGTCATGGAGATAGATGATCTGTGCGGACTTGCACAGATTGTACACAAACATCTGCACGCGGTAACGCACGCTGATAGCCGAGTAGTAAGCCTGAGGTCGCTTACCCTTGTTACTGTTTTCTCTCGCAGATGGGATTCATATCACCTTTCTCCTTTTCCTTTTCTGTTTCGTTCTTCTCTTTGGCTACGCTAGAACTCGCTGTCTATGAGCCTCCTGGCTCGTTTGGGTCGTACGAGCTCTCTCGGGCTTGTGACATAACATGACACAAGCACCTCTTGGCATTATGTAATGATTGATGTGATTTATTGATAGGCCTGGTGGGATACTATGATTGACACCGCAGCCAAGCTTTGAGTGCTGAGCCCGCGACCATGGATAATCTAGGGGACCTAACGACAACGCTTCCCGAGACAGCGGAAGTCAATCCCATACCACCCACTTCCTTTCCAGTATGCACAAGCTCGCGGGTACCACCCACTGTGCGGCAACGCAACTTCACGGCGCAGACTCATGACGCAGCGCTACATTTTCAGATTCTTGACCTCGGCCGCCAATATTTCGTCTGGGTGTCCGCCGTCGGCCCAAAGCTGGGGAACCTGTATCTGGCCATCAAGACCCCGGCGGTGAGCTGGCGATAGCGCCCATGAGAAGGGCCCTCCCCGCCCTGTATCTAGGTGTTGGGTGGATCTGCAAACGCAGAATTGTTTTCACTTGATCAGCTATGTCGCATGCATATTGAGGGGGAGAGAGGTTTAATAGCTAGGAACTGCGCCAAGTTTCTTCTCCCCAGTCCCCCACCGACTGCGTCTGACGGTGGCCGAGTCTGCACTCCGCGAGGGAAAAGCGACCCTTACGCAGACCTCAGGCCCATCCCGGGGAAATGCAAATGCCACGTGGATGAGGGCTTCTGGCGGCGATTCATTCCCGTCATCCCCTCACTTCCGCCCTCTGGCCTCCGCCACCCTGTCTGCCCTGGTGGTGATAACGTTGTGTCGGCCCCTACCGCCACCACCACCACACACACACACGCACACACAGGACAAGATACCTGCCGTGGCGTCGCTGCTGCCTTTTGCTGGTGGTGGCGGAGGTGGAGGTGGTGGCGGAGGTGGAGGCGGAGGTGGAGAGGACTCAGCCATGGCGCAGCGGCTGGGTACGTATGTGTGTCGGTATGTGTGTATGTACGTATGTATGTCTTCTTTTTCCCCCACTTATCTTTCATGCCTGCCTGCTCCATCCCAGCGCTCGTACCCCTCCACCCCTACCCCCTCCTCCCTTCGCACATAACTCCCACCCTCTCCCTACCCTACCCCACACCCACCCACCCACCCACACCCGCACTCACCGCCACAGCGCTAAAGCTGGGTAAGCCGGTCGTGTGCTCGTGCAACTTGCCACAGAATGCGCCGCTGCTGCAGGTAGGTGTGTGTGGGGGGGGATCTGTCTGTCTGTCTGTCTGTCTGTCTGTCTGTTTGGGGCACCCAGAGGGGGAGCACAAGCCACGTGTGTGGAAGGTGGTGGACACCCCCCACCTTCCCACCTTCCCGGTGGTGGCGGCCACCTAGAGCGGGGACTGCTATTTCACCTGGCGGAGTAGTGATGAAGAATCCTGTTACTGCTACTGCTGCTACTGCTACTGCTCAGGCGGTTGCGGAGAGGCGGCTGCTTCAGGAGCTTCAGGCCATGATCCAAAATGAGGACTCAGCAGTCGCAGCAGGGGCAGCAACTGAGGCAGAGGCAGAGGCAGGGGCAACCTAAGGAGGGGGAGGATGCTTCTGAGGGTGGGGACAGGAGGGAGGAGGGAGGGAGGGCGGGAGGCGATGTGCATCTCATTATTGCGCACCCACCCATCCACCCACTCCCCCCGGGAAAACGATTAGACATGCGACATGACCCGGCAGGACGCGATACGACACGAGGTACGGTAGAAAGGAGCTAAAGTGTCGGATGTACTAGTGTACTTTCCCGCAGACAGACGTACAGGCGTACAGACACGCCTAGATACCTACAAACCATACACAAGCACACATAGCCGTGCGACACATTCTTGTGGTGGTGGTGGTGGTGGTGGTGGCGGTGGTGGTGGCGGTTGCCTGGGAAAGGCCCCCCTGCCGCCCTGTGCGATGGCGGGATTCATGTGCCCAGACCTAGTCATGTCCGTCTGTCTGTCTGTCCGTTGTGCATCCCGCCGTACGGACTGGCCTGCCGGTATTGATGGGTTGATGGATGAAGCTTTAAACGGCGATGCGGATTTGGGCCCGCCGTGGGGCTTCCCCTCCCCTCCCCTCCCCGGGAACGAATGTCCGTCTGAGTTCGCGTTCGGTGCCTTCGTGCGCCTTTGGGAGAGGCCAGACCCCTTCCAGCCCCCCTACCCCCCGCGCAAGTTCCCAACAGCTGTGTGGTATTGTGGGGTGCTGGCGGGGATGGGGCTGGGGGTTTTGGTGCCGGCGGCTGTCCGCGGCCCTGTCCGCGGCTGCAGGCAGTGGCACCAATGTTTTTACGTGTGCGATATGACACGGGCCTCTGGTCATGGATGTGCATCTCAGCATGGCGATTTGGTCGGCTGGAACATAGCGATGGGGTGAGGGGGAAGGGAGGGAAGGGGAAGGGGGAGGTGCGTGTGTATGGAGAGCGGGTGGTCAGTGGGTGGTGTGTCATCCACTCACCCACTCATCCCTAGTGTCCCCCGCAACTTGGAGGTCGGTTGCTTGCTGGGGCGGGGTGGGGGGAGGGGTGGTACGGGTGGCTAGGCGGATGCGGGGTGAGCCCTGCCAGTGGGTCTGGTGGCAGTGGCGGCGGCGCAGGTGCACGTGGGAGGTGGAGGCGAGGCTGTGACGAGTTTCGTGAGGGGGAGGGGGGAAAGGGGGTTGCAACGACGGGGTTGTGATGGGGTGCGTGCGTGCGTGTGTGATGAGGGGGACCTGCGAAGTGAGGTCCCGTGGGGAGGGGGTTGTGGGGAGGGGGGTCGCTGCTGCGGCGGCCCGACCGGCGGCCCGGCTCCTCCTTGTGTAAGGCGCTGGCTTTGCTTGGCTGCTGCTTGTCGGCTGTCCAGCACTACTACCATGGCGTTCAGGGGAGGCTGTCACTGTCTGTTGGTAGAAATGTGCAGAGCGGACAGTGACAATGACTCGTAGTGGCTTGCCTCGGGCGCATGTAAGCCATGACGCCGTCGTTGATTGGTTTCGGGTTTAAGACCGTAGCCCATGGTGCGCGTGAACCATGGTGCATGCTCAAGATAACTACTTCATGAGATAAGGTTCTTACGTAGGGGTTTAAGGACATAACCACGTGTGTCACAGACGGACGGGAATGGGTGATCCGTTGGGGTCCTATGCAGCCCTGAAACGTTTCGCATAGCGTGCAGCGGTTCCTGAAACAGTGGACCCACAAAACTAGCTCATACAATGCCCACATTCTAACAACTCAGTACAGGCCGCTGACTGCAACGGCATAATTAAAAGTTTGCAAGGAAAGTTCATAAACCCAATTTACAGGAAGTGCAGGAAGGGCTTACTAAAAGAGCAGTTTAAATTGGAAGTAGTTTCATCATAGAAGCACCTGCAACAGGATGATGATGGGTGGCTTCCCGCTCCGAAGCATCGTCGTACCCGACGACTCTTGGAAATTCCCGCACTTGCAACCTTTGATATAATTAACCAGTTCCCAGTTATTGCACCAAACACAAAAACGCATTTTTGTACTCATTCTTCGTATCTCCTCGCGTTGTTCACGTCAAGTTACTTCGTTTCCACTTTGGGCCATCCATAACCAAGCATTGCGGTGCAATGGATCTTAGGGCTCAGGTGAGCTCTTCTCTTACAGCTACCCTCATTTTTCGTACCGCTGCTCTGATGCTGCCGCAACTAGCATCCGGCTATAGTTGGGTCTATACTTACACATATCCTGCTCTCCTGTTCCAGGTTCGCAACTACAACATGACTCTGTCAAACAATAAGACACCGCCGCCGATTAAGACGGAAGGCAAGACGGAAAACCAGCACGTAAAGTCGCTTCAGTCGTTGAGCAACGGAAACGAGGTCCCCTATGATGCAACGCTTCGAACTGTTATTCATGAGGGCTCACGGACACCAAAGCTGCCACCGCGGCAAACCCAAAAGCACCCGGTAGGTACTCCAGCAGCGTGCTCGAGCGGCTTTACAGGTGCACGTTGATATGCGCCTTCTGATTTAAAGTCAGGTACTGATATGTTACGAGCATCATAGCGTTGGTCTAGTTTTGTTCTCGGCGTTCTCGCGAGGATTCATTGAAGCATCCAAATTCTATGCCATCCGCAGCCAATGACGATTGCCCCCTATTACTTTAATCCGTGCAGGGGTATATTCGGAACGAGAGCGGCGGCTTCTTTACGTCATAGTTTTTCGTGTACTCATGTTCGTACATAGAGCAGTGGTTGAGTGTGACAAAGAATTGTGTTCATGGAACCACGTGGCATATGGGTATTATCCTAGCCTATTAGCGTGACCATAACAGAGCGTATTAATGTAGTCGGCAGTGTCGTCGGACAGCATAGGGTGTGTCGTCTTTGGGATAACTTGTGTTTGGGGGGGTGGGGTAGTGACAGCAGGATCGCTTGTTGACTTTGGAAACTCTTGGACCTATACGATATTTAGCATGCCTGCAGTCGGAATGAGTCAAACGACGCAGGGATGCAATCCAGCAGGTGTTGAGGCACAGGCAGGCGGTGGTTTCATTTGAGTCCGGGTGATGTGCGGGCTTCAGGATCGTGGCTTGTGAGCCACGGTAAGGCGTTTTGGCATTGCTTGTCATATTACTGGCATATGTAATCATTAACGACGCGGACAGGGTAGCCGCCCCAGACCATCGCATTTGTAAAGGGGATATGGAGACGGTTAGCGCCAAAAGAGCTGTTCAAGCAGGTCTCGCCACGCGTTTCCAGAAGTTGGCCGTGTGTCACAGGCGCGCACGGAAAGAGGGAAAGAAGGGAGCTGTGCCGCTGTTGTCACCGCTAGCACTGAACGAACAGCAGCTTACAGGAAGCTCATACATGGCTCAGCAGTCCACAGCAAAGTTTCAATATTTCAAACCCAAAGGCCGGATGCAGCAGTGCGCGCACTGTTGCCTACCTGAATTTCCCCCTTTATATGCATACCGACGAATTCGCTACTACACATCTCTGTAAATTAAAGGACGGAGCAAAAGACTTCAAACAATACAACAAAGCGCATGTGACGCATACGATAGACGACGGGCCCACGACTGGCCACGTTCTCTTAACCCCCAGGACTTATATGACTTGCTGCCGGCCGAGTACGTGTCTCATCTCTTTTAATTGCATTCCATTATCTTAAGCGCCGCCGCGTCGCTCTTTTTCACTGCGCGCAACGTAATGCACGCAGAGGCCAAGCGGGGTGACGCAAGCGCACGAAGGTAGCACGGCAGCAGAGAAAACCACATCGTGCCCAACCAGAACGAAAAAGGGGTATTGTGCCCATTTAAAGGTCTTGTCAGCAAATATCTTTTTTATTATCCGCACACGCTAAAGCTCCAAGGTGACTTTTCGTAATTGGAAGCCGACAAGTGGACGCGTCCTTTGTTCGTAGCCAACAACTGAAGCCCTGTGTACAACTGCGCAATTCAATCCCTCTTTAATCAGCGCCGGTAAAACTTGCCGACATAGCAGTTAAAAATTATAATATTAAGGCATATGCCCACTGGTCCCATTGCAGTTCGCGCGCTCGCAGAGCTTGGGATTAGTTGGCTTGCGGAGGGAGCTACATGAGCCAGCTAACAGCGCGAAACGACCTTCGGTCCTTCCTACGAGTCACTCAGGAAACCACAACACGTACACATATACACACATACACACGTACACATATACATACATACACACACCGCCAATACGCTTCTCCTCCGAATGTTCTCTTTCAGATCCTCCCCCCCGTCGTGGGGGCTCCCCCCTCTGGGCCCCCTGAGCCCCCTACTCCTGCGGCCTGCCGCCGCCGCCGGACTGCGCACGCTGCTCGCCATCACCCTCGTCCTGACCTCCTGCTGCTGGGCCGTCTTCCTGACCGCCTTCCTGCTACTGCCCACTCGCCTCAACCGCCTCATCAACGATATGGCTGCGGCCTCCCCGCACTCCAGCGTGTACTACCAAGCGCCATCATCATCACCATCATCGGCCGCAGCCGCCGCCTCCTGTAACGACGATGACGATCCTTCCTCCCCCGCCTCCCCCTCCTCCCACTCGAGCTCCTCCTGCTGCTCAAGCTCGGGGGCCCCCTGCTCGGATGACAACGACGGCGGCTCAAGGACCAGTAGCAACAGCAACAGCAACAGCAGCAGTAGCAGTAGCAGTTGCAGCAGTGGCAGTAGCAACAGCCGCCAGCAGCGCCCAAGTACTGCTGCTGCTAATCCTCCGCCTGGCCTCAGGCCTCCAAGCCACAGCTACCCCCCTAACTGCCCCGGGAAGGAGGTGCAGCAGCAGCAGCCGCAGCCGCAGCAGCAGGAGGAGGGTGACGGTGAGGGTGAGGGTGAGGCGCTCAGCCCGGCTGGGACGGATGGAGACCAGCACGACGGCAGCTCACCCGCCAGTGATTCTTCTGCTGCTACTGCTTATGCTACTGCTGCTACCACCGCTACAGCTGATGCCGCGGAGGGCTCGGAGGCACCGAAAGGGCAACCGGGTGGTGGCGCTCCTCTCCTCCTCCACCACCACCACCATTACCACCACCACAATCACTACTTCCACCATAAGACGGCCATAGGTGATGTCGAGAGGACGGCGGGAAATACACGCGCTGCTGCGATACAGACTTCGCCGCCATCACCGCCGCCGTCTTCGGCGCCGCCGCCTCATCTGCAGTATCTCCGCCTTCCGATTTGGCCCCACCAGCGCCAGCGCCAGCACCAGCGCCAGCTGGGAGTGCCGGGCAGGGGGCGGGAGCCGGAGCAGATCCATGTCCGTCAGGGGCCGCCGTCCGCACCCTCCTCGGCGACATCGGCGACGTCGGCGTCACCGCGCTGGGGTTCCGGGAACCGCGGGACAAGTACGACCCCGCCGGGGGGGTCGCTGACGGAGGAGGTCGGCGGGTGTGATGACGGCGGAGACCGCCGCGGCGGCGGCAGCTGCGGCGGCGGCGGCGGGACAGTGGTGTCGTTCGACGAGTGTATCCGCAAGTACGGCAACGTGCCGTCGCTGCGTGTGCTCATCATGGTGCGCGGGTATGGGGGGCAGGCAGTTGGTTGAGCAACGAGCATGACCGTTGCCATGCAAGGAACTTCACAACCGCTAACAGATACCGCACGTCTAGGCAGGAGAGCTGCCAGTGTGGAAAGCTGTGTACGGCAGCCGCTTACTCCTACAGGCCCACTCTCCCCTCTTGCCTTTCCCCCCTTCCCCCCTCCCCCTCCCCCTCCCAACATCACCCAACACAGGTCGCCGGCACGCGGGGAGACGTGCAACCTGCAACCGCCCTGGGTGTACGGCTGGCGAGCCATGGCCACCGGGTACGACTGGCCACCCATCCGCCGTACCGTGATCTCGTGTACGGCGCCGGTCTGGAGTTCTTCCCTCTGGCGGGGGACCCCCGGCGCATGATGGAGCTGACGGTGAAACACAGGTAGGTAGGTCGGTCGTGTGGGGGCGGGAGGGTTGGGAGGAGGGGGGTGAGGGAGGGAGAGGGGGCCACCCCACCCCACCCCACCCTAGGGCCCTGAGGGCACCGAGACGGCCAGGTGTGTTCGGAGGAGATAGATATCTTAAAACGCACTTCTGCTCACTCACTCATTCGCGCGTGATGTCCCCACAAGCTCGCTATTTGCTTCACAAGCGGCCGGCCAGCAACACAGGCGAAACGCAAATCATTAACAACCGAGATGCGTGTCTCGAATAAAGGAGTAAAGGCATCAGCATGCGGCAACCTAGCAGCGTGCTCCAGCAGCTTTCTCAAACGGCAACTCCACTCGGGTTAAGTTCAGCCATCTGAATGCGGTTCTAGTTGCTTCCCACCCCCACCCCCCATGGGGGGAAATCATCATGGGTAGAGCGCAGAGCGCAGACAGCCCCTCATGGCGCCATGAAGACATGGGCGCCTGGTGCCAATAAAGTTCAGAAAGTATTGGCCCTAGCCCCCCCTTTGGGCCCGCCCTTGGGCCCCCCCTTGGCCTCCCCCTTGCCCCCCCCTTTGGGCCCCCAGAACGGGTTTTCCGGTGCGGCATCCTACCTTGATGTTATCGCTCGTAGCAATACACACACATACATACATACATACATACATACATACATACATACATACATACATACATACATACATACATACATACATACATACATACATACATACATACATACATACATATGTATGGATGAGACCAAGCTTGACTAAGCTGCTACTATGACCGTCGGCCAACCGCGGCCGTGGCCACCGACAGCGACCTCAATTGTTTGAGCGTAGTTATGGTTATCTAATTAGCCTGAAAATGTCGCAGAGGCGACCAGCAGTGGCTGTTAGCCGCGGCAATGTTCAAAATGGCCGCCAGCCGACCTCAGCCGCGAGACCGCAATCCATACCGACCAAAAAGATAAAGGCCGTCAGTGGCTTTTACGGAACAAATGAAGGCTTGGCTTTCTACAGAGCCACACTAGAACTGGAACCGATCGTGGTGACAGTCCGGTGGCCAGCGGGCTCAGATACGGGCGACATCATCGCGCAAATATACGGTCCATTAGGACTTCAAATTCTGGCAACAATTGGCCAAATCTTCCGCAGCAACCAGGAGTTCAACCGTTGGGGAGGCCCTCGCATTCAAAAACGGTTGCTTTATCCGATGGGAAGGGAACGGCACATTGTGATGGAACTCTCCATCCTTGTGCCAAAAGGAGGTT